AATAAAAATGCGACCCGCTACGAGCCATTGCTCCTTGGCGGGCCGCCAGCGGGTTACCGATCGCTAGAACAACGTAGGGCCGTGACGTTATGGTCGTTCTCTTTATTTCCCCTGGTTCGGACGGGCGTACCGTTTGCGCTGTCGAGCAGTGTTAAGTGCACTTCTTTGAGCCGCTACCGTCGCTACTTTGGCTGGTGATTGGCGTGTTTAGCCGTTGCTTTTATCTGTAGCCTGTGTAGCTTTGGTATAGCCTTTAGTTTATTTGCTTGTGAGGACTCCAAGGCTCGTTTAGTGAGCAACTCGGTGTGCACTCGCACGCATCGGGGGTCAGAAGGATAGGCCTAGCTGCAGTCATGGGAACATTACTGCTCAAATGTAACAGTGTTACAGTTACTCGGGTAAAAAAGTAACCTTGTCACAGTTACAGTTACAAAATTTAAAGAGTAACTTGTTACAGTTACAGTTACTTCACTAAAGCATTGTGTTACTTTGTCATTACTTTACAAAGAAACATGAGAAAACATTAAAAAGGAATGTTCCTTTATATGCCTTTAAAGTAGCATAGATTTCTTATAAGACATTGTGTTGTTCACGGTTGTGAATCTGATTATTTTGAGAAACTAAGATTTTCTTAATAATCAATATTAAAGCGACACTGACACCCCCCAAAAAATTCTTTTCATTTTTTGCCAGGCGCTTGATTATGGTGTCAGAGGACTACCCAATTAACATTTTGCAACAAAGCAGCGTATTTTTTTAATAAAGCCAAAAGACGCAGCTGCTCGAAACCGAAACCGAAACCCGACGGAAGTCGGAGAAGTGGAGAGAAGAGAGTTAGTGGCGGAAGTCATGTGGCTGCACCCGACCGTGCGGTTTTTTTTTTCCTCCTCTCCGTAGCAGACGACACGACATGCGGCATACGGGAACTGTTCGCCGTGCGATTCTTTTGCAGTTATGTTTGTTCCGCTCGTTGTTCTATACTCCAGGATGAGTTGTTTTGTACATTGAGGAGTTGGAGATGAGTAGTGAGTGCCCGTGGTGAATTTCCATGATCGGCTCCGAGAAGAATAGACCCAAAATGTTGCGTGAAGAGCTGGCTCACATGTCCTGCGTCCGAAAAAAAAAGGGGGCATTGTGCGACAGAGTTTCCGAAAGATCAACGGGATCGGGACCAATGGCTGGCTGCAATTCCTTTAGAACATATACAGGCACTTCGGAAAGCGGACGCTACCTGATTTATATGCTCCTCGCATTTCGTGGAAAGTGATTACATTGAGTTCGCAGGTGTCAAAAAGGAAATCCCATACCATTTAATTCAGCGAAGTGTCGTCCACAGCATTTGTTTGTTTCTTCAGTAATAATTGTAAAAAAAAAAAAAAAAAGATATGTAAACATTGACAAATGTTTGAAAAAAAAAAAAAAAAAGGTTTCACGGGGGATCGAACCCGGTCCTACCGCGTGTTAAGCGGACGTCTTTCCCACTGAGCTACTGGGGCATCGTTTGATTGGTGGATCTCTTTTTTTAGTAATATTTCAGCCGGTAAACTGTAAGTTGTAAAGTTTGCTGCTGATTTTCCTCTAGCAAAAGCACTCCAGGGTCGAAGTCGGGAAGCACCACGCATTGGCGACATTCACACCTAGTAAAGAAATCATACGCGTGCATATTGAACTTGAAGTAGACACGTCGTGCTTGACGTTTGCGCAAGCGATGTCTTCAGCCACGAGAAGGGGGCGACGGCTCGGCGACGTCTTCGTGCAAATCGGCTTGGTGGTCGGGCGTGTCGTACGGGATGAATACCAATTCTTTTGATCAGTCTCAAATTTTTCTTTTAAAGGTAGACCGAATTCACCGGTACCGCGAACGACAGTTCTGTATTAGAGGTCCCACGACCGTCGTCCGCTGCCATCGCCGTCCCCGCAAGTCCCACGATACGCGAAATGACGAACGCACAGAATGCTTCCGGTTGTCTGTGGAACTTTTTTTTTTTTCAATCAACGTGTTTGCAGCTTTTTAGAAGCCACAAAAAATGGGTTTCATATTTTTTTCTATTTTTAATATTGAGTTTGTGCCTTCAGTGACCCACGACTTTGATTAAATTTGGTGGTTGCATCGGTACCTTAGAAAACGGCCCGTGACCGCGGAAAAGAGAGTGAGCGAGACTCGAACCGGCCAGTTCTTGATCGGCGGATTTCGGGCGGAAAGAAACCGAATTTCGAGCCGCAAATTGTGTTCTAGGTAGTTGAGCTCTCATATGTTACATACAACTAAAAACCTCGGCGAGCATAAATACCCTGTCAGTGTCCCTTTAACATGTTTGGTTCTTCCTATTTTGATTTTTGCCATGAATAGCTCCTTGAACAAGACCATAATTTTAGGGCAATATCCGAGTAAATCCACTATATGATAAAAAAATTTAGAGTCTCTTCTTTGGCAAATTACAGGCAACTAGTTTTTTTCAAATTTTTAGCATACCAGATACCTGGTCGATGAAGAACTTAAAAAAAACTAAGCGCGACCACCATAAAGCATACACAATTCACAACAGCAGGTGTCCAGATATCGTATACTGTAAAACCCTTAATGTTCGCGAGCCCTCAATTTTCGCGAATTTCACGAATTGAAGAATTCGCGAAATTTAAGGGCGCGCGAAAATTTCGGTTTTTAAGATTTTCAATGCAGGTGTCTGGAATTCGCAAAATTTAGTGGTCGCGATTATGTCATCTGTGACCAATTCGCGAAAATAAAGGGTTTTACAGTATATCCAATCATGGTGCCAGTCTACAATCACCCAATTCTAATTTTGAATTTCTTTGATGAGGCGAAATCGGACTGAAGCAATAAAAATCGTGCAAATGTGAAGTCAAGAATAATATGTCATCCCTTGCAATCAGCTTTGTAGATGTTTTCTTACGCCACTCCTATCAACTTGTTGGTCGAATCGTTTTCTACTGCGCACGCACAATCTTTCATGGAACACTTGGAGAGCAATAATGCGGCAACATCCACCGACAAAATAAGCACTAATCGAGGTACAAACGACCACTGCGTGTAGAATGCCAAACAGCTGTTGCGATATTTTCTCCGACACTTTCTAACCAGATCAAGCACGCTTGTGCTCTTCCATCTCATCACCTGAAGTAGAAGAAACCACCCGGAAAGCCCACGACGTGAATATTTATAAATAAACTGATGCCAAATGCCCCTGGTCCCGGCTAAGGGCGATCTTTCAATTTCAAGAAAACACACAAACAAACAGAACGATAGAGACGTTTCGAGCGAATACTCTTTTTTCAAGTGACGGGACCTGATCAAGGGACAAGATCTGGGTGACAGGAGGCGAGACCAATAATTGGGTTGTAAAAAAAAAAAAAAAAAAAAAAGAAGGAATGGAGAGAAAGTGGACCTGGGGTCAACACCCCGCAAGAGTGCATCTGGGAGTTGGACGATTCAAAGGAGAGGGGAAGGAAACTATGGAAACTATGCTTAGCGGCAAGAAGACTAAGTTCGGAAAATCGGTTGTACCGTAAGCCTGCGGGCGTTTGGGGCGAGAATTGCCAAAAACCTGTCCTCTGCCAAAAACACTTGCTCCCTCCATTGGACGAAGAAAAGCAAAACGCTTTATAGATGCCACGCTTTGTTACATCCCTGTGCGCTGTGGGCGATGTATGACTTGTATGGGCACAAACGTCCCCATCCTCCCAGTTGGCGGTACCAGCTTGGCCAAGCAGGGTCACCCAAAATTTAGTTTCTTTATATTATTATTTTTTGCCCTCCTGCCCAGACGTTTCCTGCAGCGGTTTTTGCTGTGCCCTTCCCATACCAGGACTTGGGGCTCTTAGAAGTTGCGAAACGATTTGGCTGTGTTTTCAATCTTTTTGCAGATAAATCTGAGAAGTAACTGTAACGACGTTACTTTATATTGTTACTTCCAAAAGTAGTAACTCTGTTACAGTTAGAAGATCTTTTCACTAAGCAGTAACAAGTTACAGTTAAAAGTTACTGAAAAATGGACGCATCTCCACGTGGTGAATGATGTTGATTGGGGAGAGGCTCTGGTGGTGCTGATGAAACTGATTTTATTGTTCATAGGTGCTGATGGTGCTGATTGTTTTTTATTGCTCATAGGTAGTGCTGAGTTCCGGGTTGCGTTTCAACTTCATTATTACTGCTTTATGGTCGGTGAAATGCAGAGCCACTGGTTCTTCTAGCGGATCAGCTTGGATCCGTTAGAAGTCATGGGAACGCATCTCCACCACTTAAGTCAACGAACGGTCCATGTCAGAAAGAGAATGTGTGGTATGGATCGTTGTTATATACGCAGTTAAGTATTTGACCGCAGTGCCCTCTTGTCTATAAACGTTAAGCCAATGCATGCAAAGTTTAACGCGATTATGTACGCATTTAACTGCAGCGCCCTCTCCTGTATAGACGTTGAGCGGCTACATCTGACGGAGTGTAGCGTAGTGGTTAAGACGTCTGCCTCGTAAGCAAGTGGTCCCGAGTTCGAACCCCCGTGCGGGCGTATGTTTTTTTTTTGTGGGCCGATCTCGGAGGCGGTGCAATCGATGAGAGCACGGACGCCGGACAAACAAGGCTAGACCCTAAGGAGCTTCGCCCCTAAAAGTAACTAGTTACCAGTAACACGGTACTAGTAACTACTGCCGAGGAAGGGCTAGCGCAACAGAGATAGGTGCCGCTTGGACTGCATACTCGTTGCACAGAAACAAGGCGGGGACGGTAACGACCATGACGTCACGTCTGCCTAGCGACTGATTTCCAGTGTTGCCGTCGCCTCGAGCGGCTAGTTTCGGTTTTGTTTACCGCGCTCCAAACAAAACTTTGAGGCGTCGATACCTTTAGAAATACTCACAATACCGAGAAAAAAATGGCACCGTGTAATTTAAGGACGCTGACTGCGCTAAAAACAGTTATAATCCCAAAATCAAAACTATGAACCGGAGTTGTCCTTTAACGGAACTTTGTCTTCCTCGTTGCCCAGATCTACGTCCGCACAGGCATCTACCATGGGACGGAGTCCCTGTGTCCCTTTCGGGACACCCAGCACGTGGCCCACTCAAACCCCAAGTGGGACGAACAGCTGGAGTTTGACATGTACATTCCGGACATCCCCCGCTCGGCTCGGCTCTGCGTGTCCATCTGCGCGGTCTCCCAGCGCAAGAAGAGGGAGGTGAGCCCCATCTTCCGTTTTCTCTCCCTTACAATTTTGCGCCTGATACGTTTCACGGTATCTACGGTTGTGTCTCGTTGATGCAATCACCTCCGTCTCCCCCCCCCCCCCTGAAATCGTCCGTAATAAGACGAGAACGCTCGTAATTACCCAGTTTGTCCCGAACATTTCGGCTATACAAGTGGGGTTACAAGCTTCGCGTTAATGGGACTAGACTGTTCGTGCAACATCTTCAGCACCAACATCCTCGCTTCATCGGCGCATCGTTTAGCGAGGCCGGAGCTGCGGCCATTTTCATTTATACTGTCTGCCCTTTTCGAGCTAATGTTAATCTTCACTTTGAGCACGATGCCCCGAATGCGTCTCCGACTGACTTGCTTATTGCGTCCTTGTTTGTGGTCCCTCGATTTCCGTCCGGCCACGTTTTTCCACTTGCATCTCGTCATTGCGTGCTGCGACTCGGACTGCAACGCGGCGGCGGTGATGAGCACAGCAGATGCTCGATTTACTGTAGGTTTCTCCCCGGCACGACTCTTCACGGAAAGCGCGGCAGCCTGGAGTTCGGACTTGCGATGGTGGCGGCACTTGCTCTCGCCGCTCTTTTTTGCGGGAACTTTTGCTGCCGACTGCCGGGATCGTGACATCGGACGGCACGATGCACCAGCTCCCTTCGACGTAATTCGTTGCCACTCTGGGACCACTTGTGGTGCATGGGCAGTGTGGGATGCTGAACACCGGCCAAAGACGCTTTCCAGGCACCATACTTCGAGGTTTTGCCATACGTCGTGAGAAAATGACACTGCACTACACTTCTTTCCACCATATGACGGACTGCGGCGGACGGTATAAGTAGGGTCGTGCGAATATTTGAAACGTTTCGAATATTGAAGTTCGAATTGAATGGGGCTGTTCGGCAACTTGAAGCATTTCCAAAGTATTTAAATGTTTGAAATTCTGCAAAACAAACATTAATTTGGACTAAAAAAAGAAAAGAAAAAGAAAAGGAAGCAGTATGCAGTACCTACTTGAGATAAGTTCACCAATGAAGGCTGGAATGCAGGTAGCAATAAAAATAGAAGCAACGAGTCTACTCTGTTGAACCTATCACAGATCGCATTTGTAATAGCTGACACCAAGGTATCTGTACAAATTAATCGCAGCACTTTTTTCCCTCAAACAATTTGCGTCTTTTGTGGCCATGATTCGTGTTCATTATTTGGGATCTTGATCTCAATTAACTATTATGGACGATTCACATCATGGATGATTTTTCTGGGCAATTGAAGTGTTCATATTAATAAGACACAACTGTATTTAAATAAGAGTTATTGCATAGGTGAGCTGGCGAACGACATTGTCGTGGTTTGTCCTTTTTTTTTTTGTTCTCTAGTCTCGGGAGTTTTTTTACCATGACCGTATTGACGGCCGCAAAGTACTATTCGCTTTGCTTCGGGATTATTCACTTCGAAATTCTTCGTACAAAAAAACTATTTACCTAGTTGCGAGCCATCACAGCCGATCCAGCGCTGTGAATGTGTCGCGTGACTGTGCACCCCACGCGTCGCCAAGATTCTCCCGAAGGTCGCTTTACGCTCCCGCGGCACTGGACTGGCTCCGACGGCTCGGGGCGTCCTCTGCGATTCGTCGTAAGGTTAAACGAAGTGTAGAACGCGCGAGGGTGTCTCCCTTGGAAACATTGCAGGAGCGCTGTGCCATAGCGTGGGGCAACATCAGCTTGTTCGACTACAAGAGCGTGCTGCTGAGCGGACGCATGAACCTGCACCTGTGGCCCGTGCCGAAGGGCATGGACGAGCTGCTCAACCCCCTTGGCATCACGGGCTCCAACCCCAACCGGGAGGCCCCCTGCCTGGTTATCGAGTTTGACCGCTTCCCGGGACAGGTCACGTTCCCCACCATGGAGCAGATCGAGGAGTACGCCACCTTCATCGCCCAGATAAAGCCCTCGGGGGACGAGGTACTTTCCATTTGCGGAGATTGTTTTTGTACATCTCTTCCAGACTGTAGTCTGCAGGGGCAAAGTTTGGCCAGATATGAAAGGTTTTTCATACGTAGTCCACACCTGGTGCATAGTTCATACATAAAAATATTTGTATACATAGCACACCTTGAAAAATGCTTGCTCTGTTAGTGCACAAAGGAGCTTGCATCCTACACAAATCACCGTTAAGACAACTTGTCATTCACAACGTCCTTCATGTCTCGTCAGAATCAACTTCGTCGAAAGGCAAATCCTCATATAATTTGTGCCTGTAAAGAGTTCACACAACATAAAATTTAAACTTTTAAACATGTACATAGTCTGTGAGCTAGAATCTGGAAAATAGAGTAAATTTTTTTTATTTCTAGTTCCAGAAATTCTATTCATTTAGAGTACCTCTAGGATATACCAAACAGACCGGTAGTTCTTTTTTAATGCAAAAGCATTAACTGTTTCATGGAGCGAGCTGACATCATCAGCAAAACGGCACCTTAATGAAACCACGCACAAAGCTAGCCAACGGCACCTTTTATACTTCGGTCCCATTGGCTGGCGCGCGTCGATGAGGCTCCCATTGGCCGCTGCGCGTCAGTTTGTGTGGTGTCATCCTGACTGTGTTATCACACTGTTGTGTTATCGCTGATCACCGCGTTTGCTCGCCTCTTATCGGTTGTACGGCGCGTGGCAATATATACAGCGCATGGAATAAACTAGTGCCACTGAATAAGCTACGCTTCAGAGTAACGACACTTGGCCATATTGTGGCTTAAAATCATAATTGCAAGTTATCTGGAGCTTTATCTGAAATCACAGGAAACACTTTTACGTCCTGCACAAATATTTCAACAGTTAGCGACAAAGCAAAGCAATATTACATGAGCTTCCTAATACCGAATCTAATGCTGAGAAGACGCACTTTTGAATCAAGACTATCGGCAGTTGCGTCTGCTCTGCACAAGCACCAAAATGGCGGCGCCCACAACAGTGTCGGGGAACGGGGTGTCGATACTCTTAGCGCAGCTAATTTAGTGGCTCTAGAATAAACCAAGGGGTTCGTTCTGCTGGGAACTATGTTGCTGTCTGTTCCTTCCTCGTGCCGCAAGGCACACGACAGCTTGAACAATCGCTCACCCGATGGCGCTGCGTGTCCGCGAGGCAGCGGCTCCACCGTTTCAGGCCCAAGGTCAGCGCGTTGTACGCCGCAGATTAAAGAAGGGAGCAAAGAGCGGCGTGCGTGCTTTCTCATTCACAACTCATAAGAAATGCTTAGGTGTATTTTGTGGACCTTCTATTCTTTTACGGTGCTTTTCTTTTACTTTTGTAGCGTAAGCTACACTGGTTGAGGTTGAGCAGTTTCGCGTGGCTCCTGGAGAGTTGTGCTGCGCATGCGCGAAGAGCAGTGACGTCACACGTGTTAGTCCCCGATGCACGCGCTGCGCGTATGCACCCGCTTGAGATCATCGCTTGCGCTGTCCAGTTCTGTGCAGCACCTTGGTTGCTTGATACATAACCGCACGGCGCACTGCTTAACTCATTGAATCCCGAAGTAGTCAGATAATGCATATACCGTGCGTGTGTGTCATTGAAGCAGCAGTAAGCATGATAATCAAGCTAATCCTAGACAACCAGGAAGGCTAAAAATAACCAGCTGAACCTAAGCTTACGCTACGTATATCCTGGCATAGCCGAGCTAAGCCACTGCAATTTTTTTTTACGAGGTGTGAGCTCGCTTAGAGGCGTTTGAGTGGACGGCTTGTGCACCCGCTCTTGCAGGACCCCAGTTCCTGGTCGGAGAACGACAAAGAGCTGGTGCAGGAGATCATCAGACGGGACCCCCTCTCCGAGATCTCGGAACAGGAGAAGATGCTGCTGTGGAAGATGCGCTACTACTGCTGCAGCGTGCCAGACTCACTCCCCAAGCTCCTAGACGCCCACAAGTGGAACAGCCGCGATCACGTTGCACAGGCAAGGAATTTCGTTTTTCTCTTCTCTAGGGGATTTTCCGTCTGATGCCTTTTCTTTGTTTCTTTATTTTCTATTTTAGTGAGAGTCAGTCGAGCTACCCTCCCAAAAGGATTCCTTTTCCTCGTGGCACCCCCCTACCTCTTTCTCGAGATGGCACAGCACTTGTGCGTTTCTCCTGTGCAAGCTACTCTTCGTTTTTTGTTCTTTTTTCTCCAAAAGTTTATAGTAGACTCTTAGGTGTTTCAGGGGCAGTGCCCGATGTTCTCTTGGAAAACATTGGCAAATGTGCGCAAGATGCAATAGATTAGGCACAGGGGGTGTATTCTGGGATGTAGAGATTTAGGTTGAGGCCGTAAAGTACAAACTTTTGCGTGTCCTGCGTATCAGATTTTAAAGCGCAGCTCTTGGGCATCCGTTTCCGGGTTGAGCGGCATCGCCTTCGGCGTAACCGCGCTAAATTTAGCGGGAAAATTGATGTCACGTGACCTCAACACCAATTCAGTTCCCCGCTAAATTTAGCAGGGAACTGAACTGGTGTTGAGGTCACATGATATCAATTTTCCCGCTAAATCTAGCGGAGAAACTGTATTTGTTCATAGGCGACGTGACATCAAATCGTGACGTCATTTTCCCCGCTAAATTTAGCGGGGAAACTGAATTGGAGGAGGAAGAGACGAGGAGAGGAAGAGGAGAGGGTACGGAGGCAGAGGAGAGGCATACCGTCCCCTCTTCCTCCTCAAGAGCTGCGCTCGAATTTCACATTAGAGAGATTTGTAAACGCCTTTCGTTTCTTTTAAATATATTTTAGCTTTATGTTTACAATTTTCTCGAAAGTGGGATTACACATCCGCATTACTTTGGGTCATACTGCTATGGTATCTTGTATTTTCTTATATATAAATTTATCAACATGTAAGACGGTCTGTTGAGTAACAGAAAAGGTTGGTACTTTCCGAACAGTGGCGTATCTTCCATAGTTTTCTGAGCTTTGATGGAGGCACTCGTGTCAGTTACCTTTACTTATTAGTGTATGTTTTTTGCAGTGCAGCTCTAGCTTTTGACAAAGCGACGTTGCCAGAGCTATGCCTCTAGCAGTCTTGCAGTTTCACGGCCATTTTGGTAGCAAGATGGACATGAGGCTAAAGAATATATAGTCATAGGAAAAAATCGTTTTCTGCTTGCTCAATTATATTCTGTCTAGAATTGGTTCCCCCCTCATCTTGCGAGGACTCTAGGGAGATCCCTAGTTACATACCCTGTTTAAAGTACAAGCTTACCCACACATTTCCCACCTTCTTTGAGGCATCACTTAACACCGAGCATGTTGTGTGGAGGAGAGGTTAGTGCTCCCAAGCATCTCTTAATTAAGAGAAATCGTCTGGCTTAGACATCTTCTTAAATGCGCGTTGAAGGTACAGTAGCACTAATACTCGGTTCCTACCTTACTATGCAGCCCTTCTTCCTATGCAGCAGAGGGGGAGGGAAGAAAGGGGGGGGGGGGGGGTGGAGTGATAGCACACCGCTTAATGGGGCAGTGCAACAATTTTCCGACTTTGGTCAATTACCTGCGGAAATTAATCTGTGTCACCTGTAGAATGAGGAAAAGAAAACAATTTTTTCTTGCACACGCTTAATTTTAGAAATTTAAACAAATCGAAGATCAAAGTGCGCCTCGGCTCTCCTGCCGTCTTTCAAGTGACGTCAATTGGAGACCACCTGGCTTCCCATGGTGTTCTGTCTTCAGAGCCCCCAGCCGCTCCCTCTGCGATTATCGACTTTTCAATGATTAGCATCGCCGAATGTCGCAGCGAGCGATTGAGAGAAAAAACGGTTTACCACGGGGCGGACGGCAAGTGTGGTAGCGGAGGGGGACAAGTTTTTGTTGACTTCCGCACCTACTCCATAGTTCCCGCAACCGCCGCACGCAGCTGCAGATCGGCTAATAATTTGTTTTTTTTCTTTACGATTACTAAGCGGCCTAGCAGGTTTTCGAGGGAAGATGGCACGTTTTTTATCATTTATGCCTAGATAAACAACACAAAACATACAAGCTGCAAATTCTTTCAGCAATAAAATCGTTGCACTGCCCCTTTAATTAACCCCTCCCCTCAAGCCGCGCAGCACAACGTCATTGGAGTACTAACGCGGTGCTACGACAATGAACCGACACCTGCACTTGATTTCTGACACTCTCATGATTTGTGCATGGCTCCCATACAAAGCTGTCGCTTTAAAACGGGAGATAATGCAATGCATATCTGAAATCACGTGCCTACAAAACTTTAATACGTCCTACGCTTGAGTACGCCAACGTCGTCTGGTTCCCCCACACAGTCTCCGGCATCAATAAGATAGAAAGGGTTAAGAGAATGGCCGCGAGGTTTATTTGCAATAAATATAGTAGGCACGTCTCTCCCTCTGAACTTTGCAGGCAACTGGGTCTCTCTTCTCTAGAAAAAAGAGCAAAAATGGCTAGACTTAAATTTCTGTACTAATTAGCCAACGATCACTTCAACCTACCAAAAGAAAATTCTTATTCATACAAGCAAACGATTAACACGGTACAACCATCGTTGCTCATAATAACTACTTTCAATTCTCTTTTTTTCCCCGAACCATTAACGAATGGAACCACCTGCCTCAAAATATTGTTCATTCCTCTTCTATTGAAATCTTCCTCGATTATGTAGATGCCCACATTTCATCATAAACTAGTATTTTATGCTGTTTTTAAAAGTGCAATGTATCTATTGTTTTTAAGTTGTTTACTAATTTTTGTTCTTGACTTCTATATTTGCTTTGAATATTGACCTGAAAATTGTGTGTTAAATATTTTTTTCTGCTTGTAATATTTCAAACTGTACCACCCTACAACAACCTCGAATGGGGTTAATAGTATTGGAAATAAATAAAAATAAATAGTAGCCATATGTCTGTTCATTAACTCCTAGGTCATTGTTCTAACAACATAGGCATTACTCTGTTCACTCTTCTTACATGCGGCCCCGGCGCCAGATGCGTAACCTGTCCCGAACAGCTACCGCAGCAGTTGACGCGGCTCTCTTTCCCCCCGTGCAGCTGTACAAGCTGCTCAAGTCCTGGCAGCAGGTCTCCCCAGAGACAGCGCTGGAGCTGCTGGACTGCAAGTATGCCGACATGTTTGTACGGAAGTATGCTGTGGCCTGGCTGGACGTGTCCCTCTCGGACGAGCTTCTCTCCCAGTACCTCCTGCAGCTCGTGCAGGTGAGCACATTGGCCGGGAACGCCTTGCCTCGTTGAAAAGCCGTGGGCTGTCGCACATGTTCCCAATCACGTCTAACTAGAGCAGAGGTGCATACTCTTGCTTGCTTGTTAAGTCAATCTGAGAGCGCACTCGGGAGGTAAGTTTCAACACGGATACTGCCTGCATGTACAGTTGAACCTCTTATAACGAACGCCAATATAGCGAATTATCGGATAAAGCAAACTAATCACGAAGTTTGGTTGGTCATGCTTTATTTGGATGGGAGTTCTAGTTATATATCGAAACCGAAACCATGAAATCTGACGCGCTATCGGTTATAGCGAAGCAATTCCTGCTTTTTTTGCGTCATAAAATACTATGAAGGTTATTAAAAAGTAGAAAGAATACAAAAAGTAATTTCTAAACGAAAAATTCTGGAAGTTTAGATCGCCCAATGTGCAAAAATCCGCGTTTCAGGAGGTAGCGCCACCTATGAACAGAGCGAATAACGGCGGTTGCACCGCTGCTGGCCTCTACGCAAGGCATAAAGAACCAGTGCAGACTAAAGCCAACCACGCCACTCGTAGTGGAGCTGCAAATGGCGACGAAGGGAAAAGCTGTCTCTCTGGAGACAAAAGTGAAGGCTTTGAGGGCGGTGGACAGCGGTCGGAAGAAAAAAGACATTACTGCGGACTTCACCAAGCACGATATCTACCGTCCTGAGTGCAAGAAAGAAAGTCGAAGTCTGCTATGCAAACAACACCGTCAAGACTGACCGAAAGAGTCTTAGGCCTTGCCTCGACCCGAACGTGGAAGAGACTCTGTTTTTAAGGTTTAAGGATGTAACGGCACGAAATTTGCCGCTGTCTGGTCAGCTTGTTCAAATGAAAGCAATCAGTCTGGCATGTCTGCCAGGACATGATGACTTCAGTGCGAGCAGTGGTTGGCCTCGGAGCGATGGCTCCAGGTGAAGAGACACCAGCCCAAAATCACGTCTTCAAATTAATTGAATAATAGATCCAGCTAACGTCGTTTCTCATGTTGCAAATTGATATCCTCATGCTCCGATCTATTTTTTTAATTCTGCTTAGTGACAGGTAAGCATCTCGTGGTCCGCGATAGCGCATTTTTATATCTTAGTGCTGTGCACGTTTTTGCATGGGCTCAATTGCGGGAATGTTCGCATCTATTTTTGTGTGTACTTTTATAACGAATAATGCATATAGCAAACAAATTTCTGCTCCCGATGCTAGTTCGTTGTAACAAGGTTCGACTGTATTTCGAGTGTTAAATTTGGGGCGGAATTCGAGTTATAAACGTCTTCTATACTGAACAGGTGCCATGTTGGTGCGTGATCACCTTGTCCATCAGGATGGGCTTGAGTTCTGGAGTTGCTTCAGTTGGTAGGTGTGAAAGAAGAAACCACACTCACAAATACTTTGTACCTGCACAGAAATGAGCAGAGATAACTTTATGCATGAGGTACACATTCCATAATGAAGCAACACATTTTTATGTGTACCTGCGAGAAACAGACAAGCCATCAAGTAGGCAGCAAAATAGCAAATCTGACCGCGCTGTAAATTGCATGATGTTTAGTGACTAATCTTGCCTCTAAGAAATTGCTACTCAACCAAATGTGTAAGCCATAACCATAAAACTTCCTTTTGAATTTCTGATTAAACTCCCTTTACGACGTAGACATTAAGGAGTTTTAGAATAGTGTACACGAAGGCTTTGCATACACAAAGAGTAGCGTCGTCACCACTGCGCATGCGCCGAACGCTAATTGAGTTTTGCACTTTGCATGCGCTATTTCAGCGTGCGCTCTAGTAGGGTGGTCAATTGGGCAAGTTGGTACTGATTAAACATGGTTAAAGATGATTATGCGGGGTAAAATTTTTGCATTTACAGACTTTGTGCGACTGTCATATTATGTGCCAATATGACATGTCAAGGTACTGTGGCACGTCTCCACTGTTAGAGGCGCACCCACGGCTGGTCGGGGGCACACCACAGTAACCATGCTTTATAAATTGCGAACCTTTCAAGGTGCTTTCGACATGCTTTTGTGCCTTTTGCCGAAGGAAAAGTGCCCTACAAAGCTCACTCAGCACGGAAAGCAACGGGACCATTCCTAGGCTCTTGGGCGATATATATTGCTATATTGCTAGTATCTGGCCGCGTGCTCTCAAGTATATACCACGACTATGCCTATAAGAACTCGTACGAAGTCCAACCACCCACCGCAGCAGCCCGCTCGCACGGATCAAGTTTCGTTTACGGAGAAAAGAACTTCTACGAAGTCCAACCGCTGAAGCCCGCTGGCTTGCAAAGATCAAGTTTCGTTCATCGGAGACTGCTGTTCCCATGGGCTATCAGCCACTCTCAGCCTACAGCGCAGGATGCACCTTCTGCTACGGGTTGTTCTGTTACGGATTAAGTAAATGCATTTACCTGGAGTATGTGAAATTAAGCTTAACCACTTTCACGATTTCACTGTCCGAAAGTGGACCACAGACGAAGGCTTGTTTGTTGACATCAATGCATCTGATAGGCAAAGAATGTCCGGGGCTTGGAAATTCCTCAACCTAAGCTTCGTCAAGTGTACGCAACGCTCGGTTTCACGATTGATCACTTCTGCAACTATGCACTTGCAACCATTACGAGAGCGGCTTGGCTTGGCTTGATTTGGCCTGACCGTTTGGCGACAAAAGAAAATTGGCTTGGTGGCTAGCTAAGTTAAATGCAATTCGAGACTCGCGGATCCGAAAATTAAAGGTTTGTTTATTACGCAAGGAAAAAAAATAAAAAAATAAAAATATTGATGCCTGTTGTGGGGAGTGCGTTCATTATGCGAGTAAATACGGTATAGGAATGGGTCTAAATAATTACTCTAAATGAAAAAGCTTTTTTTTTTTTTTTTCTTAAATTACAGGATTTCTTGTGACCTAAAAATTGTGACTGTATCTTGGTGTCATTGCAAGCGCAAGGTGCTTGGGCTTTTGCGTCATGGTGGAGAAACAGTACCTTATTTACTCAAGTAATAGCCGCACTGTTTATGAAGACAACCCGAGGGTTCGCTTTTCTGCGGAGCATGTGGATTGCCAATCACCGCGATCGACAGTATGACTCCAGCAGTTTACAGGACAGAGATAACTTTTTCGTGCGAAGATGCCATCTATGAAGATTGCATTTGTATGGAGAATCATGCTCTAGATCTGATTATTCGCTATGTTATTTATGCGCAACGCAATGATTGGCTCTATAAGTGCTTTGCGGGAAAGTAGTAGCAAGGGCCTTGTTCATAAATAGTGTGGCTATTACTCGAGTAAATACGGTATTGTAAAACTCTCTTGCAAAGCGTGCGCCCATGCAAGTGCAAAATTTAGCAGTAGCATGCGCTAAAATTGGATATGTTATTCTAAAACTTGCTATTGAGTGTGCCAAGAAACTTTTCTAAGCTCATCTGCAGATACTTCTCAATATATTTTATAGACCTAGTGGCTATGAGACATAATTATCCTTCATGTCTATGAACAGAAAGGTACCTTTTAAAAGTGTATAGTGCACAGTCTTCTGCAGGGGGTCTTCAAGTGCACTATTATATTCATGTCTTTGTTACTATGCACATTAGGAATCGTACACAGTCACTTAAGCTAGTGTGTTGTATACTGCAATGATTTGAATATAAAATGTTATAGGTTTGAAACTCACTATATTTGTCAGCTAGGCCCTACTCAATGTCTAACATTTGACTTGTGTGTGCAGGTGCTCAAGTATGAACCTTACCTGGATAATGATCTCGGGAAGTTTCTCATCAAGCGCTCTTTACTGAACTACAATATCGGCCACTTCTTTTTCTGGCATCTAAAGTGAGTTTATGGTTTATTTATTAATGAACTCTCACTGCAATACCCCAATTCAAACATCACTTGCCTCCCATTTTGGGCCAAATATCAGGTAATGAAACAACATTAAAATATTGTTCACACACACACACACAAAAAAAGACCATGTTTTACCGAGTTTGAAAACATTATGTAATGGAATGAAAGATTAGGAATTCTAAAGCGTTTATTAAAAGATGGGGAAGTAAAAACTACATATATACCTGTTTACTCCTAGAGGAACTCGATTCTGTCCCAGCCACTTTTGCGTTTCGTAATATATGTGGAACAAATGGAAAGTGTCTACTGCAGGAGAGGAAGGAGAAGGACCCGAAAGGATAGAGTTTCAGCATCCTTGTTCCTTTGCCTGAGAAAGCAAATATACATCCTTCACTGTACCAAGGACTGGTTGCACCCTGCCACAGCCAAAGCTCAACAGTAATTTTCCTGATGCTAATACAAGAACGCAGGCATGCTGGTTTAGTACAACCTCGGCCTTCTAGAGTCCCAACGGTATAGGGCTAAAATGTCTACATGATTTTTTATCTTCTTTTCTGGTGTTGTATGTGCTTTTGAGAAGTTATTGTTGGGTTACATTCTGTTTTGAATCTGCTCGAAGCAGCCGTTTGTTCAGTGCTTTGAGAAGAGTTGGAGGATGTGCTTGTAGATTTTATTCTGATGTTGCTCTTTAAGTTCTTAGTTTTAGAAAGAAGAGCTCCGCTTTTTCTACTCTCTAGTTTTCTCAAAAAGTTGTATGCTGGCGCATGCACATTAAAGTTTTGCCTACTTTTTTGTCTCACAAATTATCTGCTATTGTGGGTGAGCATTGAATTAGGATACTCTATTATGGTGGAACTGATGTTTTATGGCCTGAAAAAGACTGGGATGCTGCCACGCTTGGTGCATTAAAATCCTTGGCCATTCAATCTAGACCTCTTATTCTTTGTCATCTTGCTCAAAATAAGAGTGCCTCCTAATGCCGATTCAGAAATGAACACAGAAATTTTAAATGCCACTTTGCCCGCAAACTATTATTGGCTCAGAGCTGGAGGGCATGGTTGCCTTCCTTGGTATGTGAAATCGTCCTGATATCCCGTCTCCTAGCAATTGAAGCCGAAACCACTAAGTAGAATAATGGAATAATAAATTATTTACGGCAGCTTCGTATACAGTCTAAGCTCGTTATAACAGACCTTGATTTTGAATAAGATTTTGGTCTGTTGTAAGAGGAGTATGTTGTATGCAGATATGAAGTTGAGTCGATGGTATGTAGAGGAAAACCAACCGAACTTCACGAATTGGTATGTTATATCCAAATGTCTGTTGTAATGAGCGTAAACTGTATTTTATGTTGCGTTTTGCGATTGGTAATGCCATACGCATAAATTAAAATAGAAAACACAACCCGGATTATTATGTCCCTATGCCCTCCTTTAGCAACCCAACCTCCAACACTCGCACAGCAGTTTGTGGTGGCGTTCAAAAGAGCATATCGTCCTCATCTTGTGTATTATATCGTCCCATAATCACCTTCACTAGACGCTGCACCGCGGGCCTTCATGATACAGACTGTCTCCTTTCTGCGACGCCTGTGGCTCTCCCAAGTCATTAAAAAATATTATCATTATTTTTATTATTTAGCAGGGCAAAAGCGAAGTGTGTCCATTTCACACTTACGCACGCAACACTATCAAACTTGCTGACGTCAACCTGTGTCTTGGTCCAGCATTTGATTTGCACACACTCCTGCACAAGTAAGATGCGAGATGTGAAGCCGTCTGCTCACGCCAGTAGTTTTCACAGCGTTGTATGCTAAGTGTGAAATGAAGTATAGCGTGCACTAGAGTATAGTGATGCCATTTTATGGTGCCTTGCTTGGTTGGATTTGGTAATGTAACAATTTGGTAATGTAAAAGCTGGAGGCCTTGCGGGGCTTAACGTGTGCCACCTGGTGGACGGATGGACGGTGCCCAGGTCGGAGATGCACGACCCCTCGGTTGCGGTGCGGTTTGGGCTGCTCCTGGAGGGCTTCTGCCGGGGCATCGGCACCCACCTCAAGTCTGTGGTGCGCCAGGTCGGGGCTCTGGAGAAGCTCACCCAGCTGACCGATTCTATGAAGGAGCGCAAGGACGACACACAGAAGGTGCGGCCCTTCTTTTTCGCTCACCACACTGATGTATGCGGTGAAATGCATAGAGATCACTGTTACGTAATTATAAAACTGGAAAATCGGCTTGCGACAGCCAGATCTCGGCGTACCTGAGCAGACCTCTAGAAGTGACCAAAATGCTTTCTCGGCGTTTCTGTGTAGCTCAAGTTGATTTGACTGCACCAGTATTCAAACCGTGGTTTTAAAGTTTGCACACGTCATCATTTGTGCAAGTTGAACCCTTCCTGTTTATCTTGTGCGTGTCATATATCTGGATAGTGTAAACAACTTTATTTTCTGGAATCTTGCGAAGTGTGGGTTTCGGGAATAGTTCACGGGTACAACATTTTGCGATTTGAAACATTGTGTCACGTATTTGTTACTTTGGGGTGGTAGATTTGCATGATAGATTTTTCTGTAGGTTTTTGTGAGTCATGAAACTCGCAAAACTTCTATTCTTGCGAAAATTAAGTTGCATACGGTATTTTGAAGGCAGTGTCGGACCAAGGCAGGGTTGGGCAGAAATACTAAAAAAAGGATGTGAAAATACAAATACTGGGGTACATTAAAATAATAACTAAAATACTGATACTAAAATATATCTGTAAAAATGTATTGCGATACATATCGAAAATACATTTTAAATAGGGACAAAAGGTCTTTGGAAATACAAATACAGGAATACAATTTTGTGAGGGAAGAAATACAAATACAGAAATACTGATCCTGCAATAAATTTTTCAAATTTGTTTGAGATGCCAACTGAGATGAAGCTTGAAGTTCGAAGTAAAAGTTTTTGATCCCGAAATTAATTTCCCATAGGCTTGGCACTTTGCCTTGAAGGTAGTGGTTTCGGACGACGAGGAGTCTTCAATGGGCTCAGAAAACATTCCATGAAGGACTGAACGCAGTCCCTTCCTTGACATCCTGTCTGTCTGACAAGAAATGCGAAAAGACTTTGACCTCTAAATAAATTCTATGTAACCCTAAATCCCATCAAAACATTGCCATGCCCCCTGTCCCATAAGGACACCCATGTTAACATTGATCACATGTCGTCTTGGTGGAATGAACTGGTGGTCTTTATCTGTAAGTGTGGCTTTGAACTTGAAACTTTACCATGCTGCTGTATGAAAGGACAATACATACTTTCATTGTAGGTTATCTCGTTGAAAATCGTGCAGGCAGTGTCATTTGGAATTTTGGAAAATAGTGGACCACCTGAAGCATCCTGAAACACATATCTTCTGTTGCGGTTGAAAAAACGATACGGTGGCATCCCTGTTGTGAAGGTCCTTTCTGCCGACCCTCCGCCACTGACGCATGGGTTTCAGTCCTCAAGTTTTGCCTAGCATCATCTAAACAGAGACCTTGTGGATTGCGACCTGATATTGCCGGCACAGGTGCGAGCTCTCCTAGAAACAGTGCGCTCGAGACGAGTCGCAGGTATACAAAGTCTGGGTCGGCACAGTGAGGCCACGTCTGGCCTCCTTCCTGGGTTTCAGATCACTAGAGCAGCAGGTAACGCCCACGTCGGCTGATGACATACCCTTGAGCCGTGCAATATTACGGGCGCAATCGCAGGCGCATTCGAATATGTGTTGAACTTCCCTGCGTGAGTCATCCTACTATTTCAAGTCAACCACCGCCAGGCTCGTGCTGCAACAGACTGTGGCTCAGCTTTGCCAACTGGGTGTACTGTGTACGCTAAGGCAAGAGAGACAGTTAGCAGCGGGTATTGGATGCCAGCAAACAATGACTCAAGAAATCCCTACTTAAGGACCTGCAGCAGAAGATGCTCTGACTCCACTCCTGGCACGCCACCTGGTTCGAGTCCCCGACTATGCAACACTTCTCAGAAGACAGAAAGAGGACGCATAGAAAAATAGTTTGGAGAATCGGAAGGAACCTTGGTCAGCATAGTAACAATGCCCCAGCATCTCCTTGACCCTGCAGGTGCCCTCAGAAAAAAAAAAAAGAAAAAAAACTGTGTATATTGAAAGAAAGAAATGTAACGAAATGCATTTTATCCTCATTGTATCGCGACACAAAGAAACATTCCAAATGTATTTCGATACAGGAATACAGCTACTGATGAAAAATATGTAACGTGATACAGAAATACAGGTATGAAATGTATTTCTAAAATACTATCGCGATACATTTGTATCGCGATACTGCCCAACCCTGGACCAAGGGAAAGTGTAATGTATTTTATGTCACCTGAATGAATTCTTGATACCGGTGAGGCTCTGTGAATGCTTTAGGCATTTTGTTTTAAGTTAAATACAGAACATAAAAAGGTACACTTTTCTTAAGACGTTTGCCAAAACTCACTACGTCCTCTTTCTTTTTGGTTTGTAGGAACGGCTGAAGTTCCTGATGGAGCAATTTTCCAAGCCAGATTTCCTGGAGGCATTGCAAAACTTTCCTTCTCCACTGAACAACAGCTGCATCTTGGGAGACCTGATGTGAGTGGCTCGTGCTGCACTTTCTTTTTTAAGAACGTTTGCTGTGAGATTGCACTCCCTCTCCGTTTTTTCAGAAGTGCCTTGTGATGGGTGTGCGGTTTCATGTTTCAGAGTTGCCGACTGCAAGATCCTTGACTCTGCCAAGAAACCCCTCTGGCTGCTTTGGAAAAACCCCGATCACCTGGCAGAACAGATACTGGACCACCACGAGATCATTTTCAAGAATGGAGATGGCAAGTGATTTCTCGCCTATGCTGGCTGGCAAAGAACCTTCACCGTTTTCGTTGGTTCTGGGATGTGCAACCGAGGCGAGGGCGTGAAAGTCTTTTCAACACCATCATAGTATGATATCTACAGGGCCACTTTACGAGTTTAATTAAGCACTCCCTCGCTCTTGAGAAAATACACGGGGAAACGATGGTTTGTAGGATATTGTAAGAACACATTGAATGTAAGCATTTCACCCTTACTCTTGGACCTTCATCAGACAGCTGATGTAACTTTTTGTTCTTGTCCCCCTTTTCAAATTATAAAACGAAATAAAGATTATCGTTATTAGATTATTATTATTATTATCACTTAGAGATGCGTAAGTGCATCAATTTTTCAAAACTTCTTTGTGTGTTTTCCATCAGATCTACGGCAAGACATGCTAACGCTGCAAGTCATCCGGATAATGGACAGCATCTGGCAGAAGGAAGGGCTCGATCTCAGGTGCTCGTGCCGTCGTCGTTGATTCGTGATTGCAGCCTTACGATGACGTTTACTTTCCCTTTGCTTTTTTGCGGGGCGCTCGTTTCGGCTCCGTAAATTTCCGCATCGTCTGTTGCAGGATGATGCCGTATGCCTGCCTCTCGACGGGGAAGCAGGTGGGCATGATCGAGGTGGTGCGCAACGCCAAGACGGTCATGAACATCCAGAAGAAGGGAGGCCGCATGGCGGCCTTCCAGGTGGACTCCACCCAGCTGCACAAGTGGATTAGGGAGAAGAACAAGAGGGAGCGGTACGCCTTTACCCATCTGGGCAGTTGGGGGGCTGCAGGCCTAAAAGCATTGTCTAAAGCGCCGTTCACACACTTGCAACCGGGGAGGACCGAGAGATAAGGCCGGTTTTTAAAGGGGCGGTGCAATGATTTTAACACTGAACGAATGTGCAGCTTGCATTTTTTATATTGTTTACTTCGGCATAAGTAAGAGAAAAAGTGCCACCATACCCCAAAATACCGCTATTTCGCTGCGTAATCGCAAAATAAAAAACCCTTTTTTTCCCAACCTGCGGCCACATGGTGGCCGCAAATGGAACCTGTCGTGTGACGTCATTCGGAGTGGTTTTTGTAAGTGATAGTGTTAGGCAATTGTAAGCTTGATTTAAAGTTAAGTTTAAAAAATCTTGTTGTTTAGGCTTGCAGAAATGCTTCAAAAGCTTAATATTGCCGCTAAATGGGTATGAATTATTTGTGGCGCCATCTACCGCGAGTCAACAAAACCTGCCGTCGCCGTCGTCCGTCGACGCCCGAGGCTCTTACGGCGGCTACACGAGCAACCCGGACGTTTTGTCTTTCCCTCGTTCGACGGAGTGCGTAGGTCGTGGTCCGTAGTATCCTGGTATCGTTATTGTTCCTGGTGTCTCGACCTCGACTTCGACTTCCGCCGCGCCGCCATGTTGATCGGGAATCGACGGGAGAGCGGCGAGCGGCGAGCCTGGCAAGCCAGCGAGCGCTGGGGAAACGGAAGCCAAAAGAACCCAACCGGAAACCAACGCCACTCCGAATGGCGTCACAGGCGAAGCTGGTGCCGCTTCAATGTTGAGTTGAGGGGTGCCGGAGATACCAATTTCTTTTATTTTTTTTTAATGAAAACTAGGGCAAGCAGAAAAGAATAGTTTTTGGTCCTTTGTTTTATATGTGGCCGGGATCCATTCCCGCAATTAATTAGCCAAAGTCCGCAAATTGTTGCACCGCCCCTTTAAGTTCTTGCGACGGCACACGACCGGATGCGCTGCTGCAAGCAGGTCTTATGCCGTCGCAAAAGGCTTAAAAACTGGTTTGTCTCTCGGTCCTCCTCAGTTGCAAGTGTGTAAACGGCACTTTAATTGTTTGTAGAATGGTGGCAATAGCCACAAACTAATTCAGTCGCAGTAGCAGTATGTCTGCTACGGTCGCCGACAGGACGAGAACAGCACAGAGCTCCCTCAGTTGTTCCGCCTTCACCATGAGCTTTCCATCTTCGACAGCACTCTGGCGTCTCCTCGTCAGCTCCGGGCGTACACGCACAGAAGAAATGCGTAGGCAGGCAACGAGCGCACGCCTGGGGTCAGGCATCCAAAAGAGACAGCCTGCAATTCTCGTCCTGTCGGCGTTTATGGCTCCTTCACTATTTTAGCTGGAGCTAAAGAGCATGGATGTTCCGTGGAAATGTGTTTTTGTGACACTACGCAAGATGTGCACATGCCCTGCAAAACCTTGCATTCCTTTGTCACTAGCAGGAGGCATCCGTTTAAAAGTTTTGCTGCACGTTTGCGCCGTCTGTTTCTGGGAAAATTGTAAGGAAATGACTGTCTGGCTTTTGGAATGAATGTTTTTGGTTAAGTTTGGTTGCTGTAATTCAGAAATGTTAATTGTTTTCAAAAAGAAACTTCTATCTGTTGTACGCTATCCCATTTTCATAACCTGTACCCTCTAGTGGAGAAGGCGCAATTCAATCGACGTGGCAGATTTAGTTGCATTTGACAAAGGCATAAGGAATGTTGGCGGTGGTAGGGCAAAGAAACATCTTTGTGCTGAGATTTGTCCCTTCCACCATGCTGAAGGGCCTAAGTAGCTTTTTATTTTTACTTCCAGAGGACCTACCTTAGCTCACGAGGCTTTATTTCCAAGATAGAAACGTCGGACAAACCTATATTCAGTCAAGTTGGCACTGGTAGCAGAGACTCTAAGAAAGTGGTGGGGCACACTTTGACATTAAAACTTGTGGGAGCCGAGGGTGAAAGACGAGGCAGAGGGCACGTGACAGGCGGTCGGCAGAGAAGTCACGAACTGGCGCGAGACAGTGCGTGCTGAGCGAGGCTGGAGCTGGACAAGAACGTTGAGAGCCGGAAGTCCAGGCATGCCGACCCTTGTTGTCGCCCGTCGATCAGAGCTCACAGTCGGAGTCCTTGTCCGGGCCTGCGGATGGCCCTTCCCACGCCAGCGCTGCGTAGGCTGGCTGTCCCGGGCTATCACAGCCCGAGTCTTGCTGCGGAACCACGCTGGGATCGTCGTGGCCTAGGCCAGATGGCCAGGGCTCGCCGTTTCCACTGGTCCGGACTTCGAACCTCGCTGGTGAACCGCTCCGGGGTTCATCATGGGCCAAGCCAGGCAGCCCGGCTCCGATGTTCCTGTCCAGCTCCAGCCTCGCTCAGCACGCACTGTCTCGCGCCAGTTTGTGACTTCTCCGCCGACCGCCTGTCACGTGCCCTCTGCCTCATCTTTCACCCTCGGCTCCCACAAACTTAACAGTGAAACCCATCAATTCAGAACATATGTTTCCAGTGATAAACAAGACTGCCGTAACATATTCAATCCCGACAGTTGTAAATTAAAGTTCCATTCTAGAATGTGCTTAATGGGATGGTGAACAGAAATTTGGATTTCAAAAGAACAATGCAGAAGATGTAGGCGGGACGCTACAATCCCTACAACACTACTCGTAAGGCGATATCTCAAATGGACGGCCGTCTTTTTGAAAAAAGAGGTCGAGATTGAACCAGGCCGACCAGGCGCGACGTCAAGATATCTTGTTTTCTCCTCTCTTCGCTTTGCTCCCTCAAGGCGGCGAGGCAGAGAAGACGCGAGGCCGTTCCCTGTCCTTCTTGGAGAAACATGACGTCAACATTTCTGCCGAATGCGCCTCCTTTTTTGAGAAATACGGTCATCCGTTCGAGATATCGCTGTATGAATGATGTTTTGGGTTTTGTAGCATCCCGCTGCACGCTTTTGCCGCGTGTTTTGGGGAATCCAGATTTCAGTTCAGCATCCCTTTAAGTGCATGCATTTGGAAAAAAAAGGAATTTGTTGATGAAGGTGTAGTCATCCAGACACTTTTAATCGCGCTTCTAGAACTTCCAACTCTACTGCCTTGTGTTTTTTTTTTTTTTTTTATCTCCTTGGTTTAATTTATGCACAGAACTGGGCTGCACTCAGTTTTACAGAAACAACATAGCATGGATGAATGATGTATCAACACCACTTGTGCTCGGATAATAGAGGTTGTGGTATTTATTCCTTTTGGCCCAGCACCATTTGGCCAGCTCCCGCTTTATGCTTTCGATGCGGTTCCTTTTCTAGGGGCTGAAACCTGCATGAACGCATGAGAAAGTTGCTCTTTTCAATCCTGCTGAACTTTAGGAAAGTCGCAGTAAGAAGAGCTTGCATCCACAGACACATACCACATTAACAATCATACTTTCATTACCATAAACTTGTTGTTTTTCAATGAGTATAATCGTACAAACAAAAAGAAAACTCATACAGTCCATTTTATAGTAAAAATCTACACTCAATTTTAATTTTTTAAATTTTACATAAGTAACTTCATCGAATGCAATGTCAAGAAGACAATTTCAAGCTTGTTCTGTACAGGAGCATGCATGCTTCTTTGAACAGCAGCCGTTTTGGTATGTAATCGGCTTGTATTGAATTACTGTGCAGAAGGTTAAGGTAGAGGATCTGGGTTTTGTTGTACAGGTACAAGCAAGCCATTGAGACGTTCACCCTGTCCTGTGCTGGCTACTGCGTCGCCACATTCATCCTGGGCATAGGGGACAGGAATCCTGACAACATCATGGTCAACGAGGAAGGACAGGTGGGTCACGTTACTCGGAGCACTCACCGACAGGCAAATGGGGACGCATTTCTCCACCATGTTTAGCAGGGAAATCCTCCTGCTATCCCGCTAAGTTTAGGGGGAAATTTTAGCAAGACGATAAATGACATGCAAAATTGTACACATCTAGTTATCAAGGTGAGCGTTAAGAACCAGGTCCGCCATGTTGGTAGCGGCTAGAAAATAACCAACGAACGGACCGGCCAAGAGCACGTCCCTGCTTAGTACAACAGGTGTGATGCCAATTGTGTAAGCTGCGAGGGGCTTTAGATTTTGCAGAAACAAGGCTCACTATTTTTTCTTTCTATTTTTGTTTTTCATTTTTTATTTGTTACTTTACACTAGAGCACCGCACAAGCCTACCTTCTGAGGCCCGGCCCATTGACTCGGGCCGGGTCGGGTTGGGCTGGGCCCAGGCTGGGTTGACCCGGCCCGGGCCCGGCTTGATGGGATGCCTACCTGATATGGCCCTGCCTAAGCCCGGCCCTGCTGGAGGCGCCTCGATAGTGAAAGATAAGGCATGTCTCGGGCTCAAGCTTTCGGCTTGGCCCGAGCCTGCGCAGAGCTCTACTTTACATTTGGCTTTTGAGAATTAAAACTGGCGACAATGCAGAGAATTCTGTGAACGTCCTCGCACGGCATGAACCCAATTAAAACTCTGAACCCTAATCCTATTACAATGTTTTATCAGCTTTGGTTTTTAATCCGTTCCCTTCTCTGGTCCACGTCGTAAGGTTGACTTGCTTTTTTCTTCATGTGAAAGCAGCTCGGGGTATGTGGACGAGACCAAGCTTGTTAAGGTGAAGCAAAAAATTGTAGAGCCCATCCACTTCATGTGAACCTCGAGTATGATTCCTAGAGGACGACCTCGAGGACGATGCCTAGAGGACGACATTTATGATGACCTCAAGGACGACCTCGGGGACAAGAGGACAACGTTTAGGACAACCTCAAGGACGATGTCTAGGATGATCTTGAGGACGACGTCTGGGATGACCGTAAAGACAACTTTTAGGACGACCTCGAGGACAACGTCCAGAGGACGACGCCTAGGGCAACCTCTCGGGTAACCTCAAGGCGACCTCGAGGACGACGTCTAGTACGACCTCAGGGGCGACTTTAAGGACGACCCCGAGGATAACGCCTACAGGACGACGCCTAGGAGAATCTCTCGGGTGACCTCAAGGACTACTTCTAGGACGACCTCAAGGACAACTTCTAGGACAACGTCTAGGATGACCTCGAGGACGATGCCTAGAGATGGATAACAAAAGATCAGGACTTCACTATCTAATAAAGCCAAGGAAGGCTGACCTCACGCTGGTTGCCCCCTTTTTTTATTTTTATTTATTCATACTTGCCACGACCAATGGGGAGTTTTCTGTTGACATGTGAGGGCACATTTTTCCCCAGACCCTAGCCCATAACAGCTTTGCTGTAAAAGATTGTACAGCTTCACACATCCATGCCACCAACCATAATTCAGAACACATAGGTTAACATTGAATTATATGAGCAGGGAGCTGTTCGTTAGTGTTGTTCACAAGCTTTCATTTGTGCACTACTAAGCTCATTTACTTTTAATGTAATTAGAATTTCTTAAATCTGCCCTTGGACATTATAAGGCTTACTTAGGAGTGGCAAGTAACAAATTTTATGTAAAATTAAACCAATAGTGACCCAATATTACCTAATCAAGGGGATTAATCAAACCTCTTCAATCTCCAATTAAAAAATAAATATTTAAAACCAAAAAGGGAAAGGAAAACAAGCATGACCAGTGATGCATAGAGCTTGTCAGGACATTGCTGCCTAACATACATATATCCTTGCATAATAGCCGTCTTTCAGCTTTATATATTTTACTGCAAGGTAGATTTCAACATCCCCCAAGTTCTAGTTTATTGTTAAATATTATCATGCATGTACATGTAGAAGCCTGCTCCGAAAGTGTGCTTTTCTACTAAGCATACAGCTGTGCTGTGGTGAAGCAGGATTTGCAGGATTGTGGTTTTAGCTCTTTTGCTATCACTTCTCCGCAATGCACCGGTGCTCGGTGAGAAGCGCACTCAATAGGTCTAACCATGGCCGCCTCTATACTGACAAAGCCTGGCAGATCGCCACAAGACGCGGCCGCCGAAAGTGAGAAGGTGGAGCGGCAGACAACGGATGAGAGGAGAGTCATGTAACGGACGCCCCACTGTGGCGAAACGCTCAAACACACTTCTCCTGAGCGATGAAATGTCCGCTCGTGCTCCTCACGTTCCTAGCGCTACCGCTTCTTTTCTCGTCGAGTTTGAAAACCATGTTTGGGTCCTCACTGCTGCAAAAGCTGTGCACTGAATACCAGCTTCCCCAAGAAATGCTCTCTGCTACCAGATCTCTTTCTTTAAATCTGCGACCGGGCACTCTATGGCTCTATTGTCGAACTGCCAGGCTTTGTGAGTATAGAAGAGGCTATGGTCTAACTAACCTGTTATGACCGTGACTTAGCCAGCACTTCGAAAAGTATGAATACTAAAGTTTGTTTCGAAGCAAATGAATGTTGAATGTAGCGTATTATTCAAGTGTACTATTGGGAACTTTTAATATTCATACAACCCTAAGCACTCTCAACAAAGGCTGCTTATGAAATGTCCTATTTAGTATTGCCATACTTATTTCTTTATTGGTATATTCATACCACTGGTCGTCGTCCAGGACACCTGTAAGAATGATTATGGAGAACAAATATTTTACACATATCAAATATTCCAGAGATTTTGTGCTGATTTGTTGTACAGTTATAGAGCTACACTGCGGTATTTATTAGAGTAGAACCTAACCCTAAAATTCACCTTCGACGAAAACTTTAGCTTACAAGTTAGCTCGTTTCATAATGACCAAATGGTCGGGGTCCCACCGTAGTTCAAAGAAACTCGAAGGTTTGGGAAACCTATCCAGCATTCCTTCCTTTGCAATGAACCACCCTAAAGGGCAACTCCGGACAAATTTTGACGTCAAGAAAACAATGCAGTCCTACGTCGTACAATCTGGAAAACCTGCACGTCAAATATCACGATGCTATTCTACCTAAAGGTTTATTAACCGGCCAACGACCCACGGTCACCAAAATCCGCCCAACCTTGTGGGCAATGCGCGGAGCTGCGCAATCGACGCCACTGTGTGGACACAGTCCACACTACGCAGAACGTTCGACAACTGGAAGAATTGTTCTGTTTGTTTGTTACTTTTTGAGGTGCGGAGCACGAGGGCAAGAGAGAAAAAAGAGAGTGTGGGGTGCAACTGTGTCGGGCCAACAATGCCGTCACGTCGTCCGTTACTTTCGTTGATGACTCTCCGTACCACGTGATGTCCAGTAGTTTACGAGCTGAACCAATGTTGCCTGCCATGGGCAAGGTTTCGGTTTTGCTTTGTGATTTTCATTTAAAGGAAGTTTGCAAGAAAACTATTTAGCTTTTTGGAAAAGGAATGGCATAGAACCATTTAATACTAGTGGTTTTGACACAATTATCACCCGTAATCCTAGAAATTTTGAATTTAACCAGAGTTGCTCTTTAAGGTCTTGGAATGTCGAGTCACTAAACGTTTGAAGTTCGTTTAGGGGTGGTTGCTCTTTGGAAAGCACTTTGTGACGACATGTGTAATAAAGAGTTCCACCCGTGGAAGGTGAGGTGACCAGTGTGTGTCTCCCTTTCAGATCTTTCACATTGACTTCGGGCACTTCCTGGGCCACTTCAAGAAGAAGTTTGGCATCAACCGTGAGCGGGTGCCCTTTGTCCTCACGGAAGACTTCCTCCACGTCATCGCCAAGGGACAAGAAAACCCCAGGAAAAGCAAGGAATTCCAGAGGTAAGGATAGTTCTTGTCTTCCAGAGCAAAGGGCAATTCCTGGACAGACGAAATCTGCCATTTTGATTGGTCCACAAAGCTTTTTTTATGAGAAGCCGTGTTATGGCTGTGAGATGAATAGCCAGGACTAATGTGCGAGTATTTTATAATGATTGTAATGGCGGTGGAAAGTTTGGTTGTCTTTTTTTTCCCCCACTTTGAATTAAGTTTTCTTTCATCGAATCGAGTGTGACTGCGTTGGGTGTTTGGATCTAGCTCGGCTTATTCAAGCATCAAAAAATGAGTCGCCTAAACTGACTGAGCTCTTAACAGCTTGCTCCCTCTTTCTCTGCGCCAGTCCATAGTCTGTGGAAGTGTGATGAAGATGTTTGTTTATTGATCTATTTTCAATACCTTGAGAACTTAAAGGGCCCATGAAACAAATTTTGGGCTGGAATAAATCAATTTATATTGGGATTTTACTAATAGCACATCGTTCTGCGGGCCAAAAGAAAAAAAGGTAGAAAGTCAAAAGCCTGACTTTCGGTGCGAAAATTTGAAAACACAGCGGACTATTTCGTACCTCCTTCCCCTTCGTAAGCTCTCTGCCTTTTCACTGTGATACATCCGCGGACCCCGCAGTGCGTCACCGGGCCAACGCAGCGCGTCACCGGGCTCAAACGCACGTCACATGGCACCGGACCTCACTTAATCCCTTCACCCCTAAGCTGACATTGTGGTGGAAGCTACGCGCTTGCCGGACCAATCAGCCGCCTGACCTCATTCTCTGCGCGTGGGTATGCGCGAGAGAGCGTGATCACGTGGCAAAAGTGTGGCTGGCCCAACGAGCACATAGCTTCCACAGCACTGTCAGCTTCGGGGTGAACAGGGTGGGGAAAGCAATTTTTGTCTGAATTTTGAGCGACGGGCTAATCTTCTATGGGGAGAATTGCTGTGCCCGGGAACACAAACGAGATTACGAGAAAGAGGGGACTCCCCCTTTTCCGTCTTCTTGAGTTGTTTGGTAGAATGCGCAATTTATGAGTTGAGGAGGAAAGCTAAACAGGAAAAAGTTGGAAAAGCGTTTCATGGTTCCTTTAAGACATTACGGATAGGAGTGGTTACAGTCTACGGTCATAAGGTAATGGCACATTTACTATTTGTTAGTACAGTAAAATGGCTTCTAGTTATTACAAGATTAGCTAAGGCGTTCTCGAAGTGCTGGTGATCTTTGATTGATGCCGTTGGTATGGTAAGGCGATTCCGTTTTTTTGGTGTGCACGGTAGTAACGACTGAGGTAGATATAGCAAAGCTGAAGTAATGCTTTAATGGCATTGAACAGGCATTGAAGTATTTACCGATATAGTGAGGGTACTGATGTAATGACAGTCGACGCAGATGAGGAACCCTCGTCTGCGTCTACTGTCAGTTGAGGATCCCCTCCTAGTCCCAGCATTGATGCAGTAAACCTGTGTAGGAGCTTGCAGACCCTCTAAACAATCACGCAAATACTGGGGACTGTTTGGCTCATAGTTATGCGTCACTAGATCGCTCACATCTGCTAAAGCAGTGGTTAAACTGGAAATACAGCTTGTTTAGGAGCGAGGACGATACAGTAAAACCTCGTTATAACAAAGTTGAAGGAGCGATCGTAAATATTTCGTTATAACCATTAGTTTGTTATAGCCAATGTCCATTACTTCCCTATTAGCATGCAAGGGGAATTATGATTGCTTAGTTATATCCATTAGTTTGTTATATCCCATTTTGTTATAACGAGGTTTTACTGTAGTAACATGTGCACTAAGTATGAAATTCGTGATGACAAGTGGAATATAGACCTCACCTAGTACAGTCATTTTTCGAAGCACGTCACGACATAACCTCACGAAAAAGAAGAGTATGTGGTTCTTTACCATTACCTATTTTGTAGTACCTTTAATGGCACAGGGATTCTAAATGTCGCATTAGCTTTGTTGGCAGAATCCGGTTCGGTTATTTCTGCGAGAAAATGGCTTCGTAATTGCCATTAGGCTTGCACCCACGCACAATTTGTGCATCCATTTTACGGTGAAATTCTCCTCACACAAAAATTCCTGCGATTCCGAGGCGTGCGCTACTCCACCGGTGCCAAGCTATCACTCTCTTCGTTGCCGTCTCCCTTCATGCAACCACATCATCTATGGCAAGACCATGGTTCTCCCCAAGAATTTTTTAGGGGTGGACATGACCACCATGTGGGATGGGGGGGGGGGGGGGGGGGGGGGGGGCGGCAGGCAGAGGGGAGGGGAGGGGGAGGAGGAGGGGAGGGGAGGGAGAGGAGAGAGGAGAGGAGAGAGAGAGAGAGGAGGGGTAAAGGGCGATAGTAGTAGTTTGCAATGCTGCACAATCTAGCTTGCTGACAGAATGCACTTGGTGTGGCCCTGTGAGTGATGCCACGCCATAGTGATAAAGCAAAGACCAGAATGCCTTGAAAAAATAAAAACGGGGAAGGTAAGTGGGGAGCGAGCGAAGAGGCAAAAATAAAGCAAGCCACAGCACGAGCAAACATTGAGCAGCAAAAGAGTCCTCTCTGCTCTCCGCCGCTCACCGCCTGCGGAGAGAACTGTTGTGCGGTGCGCGTTAGTCACGTCTGTTTATTTTGTGTTTCTTCTCAGCCAAGCACATACCCCTTACTGCCGACTTTCTCTTCGTTTGAAGGAGTAGCAACAGTCGGTGATGCGATAACGCGGGCTAACATGGAGGCGCGTGGGCCTCCGAGTACGACAGTTTGCAGCCATGTGCGCGGGCCAAATTGCATCATCGTCCTGCGTCATAATCGAGCAGTGGGCGGTCAGTCAGAGCAATGGGCAGTAAAGCCACTCCTGCCCATTGTGGGAAAAACCCTGGGCAAGATGCGACATCACTCTCTCCCTCTTGCCTGCCCACACCTAGCTAGCCTCCACTGGGCAGCAGCCCCGAAACAGCAGCCGCTATCACTGCCATTTCGGTGTTTTAGAACGTTTTCCGGCGCATCTTACGCATCTCCTATAATTATTGTACTAAAAGCAAAGCTGCCAAAGCAAATATCCTAAAGCACATTAGCTATCAATGCTGTATGCTGGGCTAGTTGGTATTGGTCTTGGGTTGCCAAAGGCATGGTAGCGCTTTTTTGGACGAGGACAAAAGAAAGAAAGATAAGACAGACACGAGCGCTGACTGCAACTATTTAATCAACATGGAAATGAGGCATATATACACGCTTCGATCCTATCCATCAACCAACCCCAGGCCTAGCCGCCACTTGCATGAACTGCACCTCCTTATCGAAAAGGTCGATAGATGCAATGCTGACACGCCCCAGCCCTGCCCTTTTTATCTCGTCCGCTTCAACAAATCTCCCTAACAGTTCTATTTTTATGTTTAGCGAGTACGAAGCATGAGTTTGTTCGACTCATGCTCCGTACTCGCTAAACATAAAAATAGAACTGTTAGGGAGATTATTGAAGCGGACGAGATAAAAAGGGCAGGGCTGGGGTGTGTCAGCGTTGCATCTATCGACCTTTTCGATAAGGAGCTGCAGTTCATGCAAGTGGCGGCTAGGCCTGGGGTTGGTTGATGGATAGGATCGAAGCGTGTATATATGCCTCATTTCCATGTTGATTAAATAGTTGCAGTCAGCGCTCGTGTCTGTCTTGTCTTTCTTTCTTTTGTCCTCGTCCAAAAAAGCGCTACCATGCCTTTGGCAACCCAAGACACATTAACCAAAAACAAATATCCACACTGACTAAAAACAAATCTCCTAAAGCACACCGATGAAAATTAAATCTCCCCGAAGCATGTCATTCAACAATGCAACAGCTGCGTTAGCAATCGCAGCACGATATGTGCGGTCATTTACAGTTTCCTTTTTCCTGGCAGCTTCCAAGAGCTGTGCGGCAAGGCCTACCTGCTGCTGCACCGCCACGCCCACCTGCTCATCACCCTGTTCACCATGATGCTGTCCACGGGAATACCTGAGCTCCAGTCCATCGATGACATCGGCTACCTGCGCAAGACGCTGCAGGTGGGGCAACTGCCCTCTTTGGGGTTTTTATCTCGCCGAGGGGAAACCGCCCATGTGGCATGGGTCCCCACTCGATTTCTGGCCCATGAGTGGGATTCCATGTTTTTGGCAGCGTTGGTTAAAGTACATGTAAAAAGTACCTGAAATAATCACAAAGTAAATGAAAGGTTATGCATACACCAACTCATCTCTGTGACGTCACAGCGCGGTGGTGGCGCGTCGGTCGCACTTCCGGTCTGGGGCTGTGGGCAGAAGTCCCCATGGCAGACGTGTGTTCCTGCGTTGTTTTGAAGGGAACCAGACAAAAACCTGCCTTCTCGTCAAAACGCTGGGACTGGGGCCGTACCAAAAGTGTCGAGAAAGGTTTGAAGGTCAGTTTTCACGTGCTCGGTTCGTCCGAGAATATGGATATATGCCCTGAAAAGGGAAAAACAGACGCCCTCGGACAACTATTGCTTGGGCGGGAAGCACTTTGGGTTGAATTCACGGATACTTGTGGTCATCAGATTTATTTGTTTTGTTCCAACATGAATGCCAGAAAACTATCAAGTTGTGTGGACCACCTGCGGACTACGTTCAGTGCGTCTTCAAGTTCAAACAGCCGCCTGATCGTTCGAACTGTCGTCTGCTCTTTCAAACGTTTCTGCTTGTCGTCTGCTCTCTTAGACGACGCCGGCCCGTAGACCAAATGTTGTTCCGGTACTTGCGATAAGAAGTAAGTGCAGGCCTCAAAAGACTTAAGTTTGAAGGTTGGTAAGCAGGCTCGATGTAAAAAGTAAATACAAGGAGATGTTGATCATTGTTTCCAGTGACCATCACTGACTTGCTATGCCTAATTGACTTGGTCCGATTCTGCTTGCGATTTTCAGTATCGACGCCGACCATCTCAGCTACGGTTCACGCTTTTGCAGCCCGAGCGGCGTCGCGACTGAAAATTGCGAGCGAAATCTCATCATGCGAATCAGGTTTCAGCGTACATACTGCGGCGTCCACGCGGAATGAATCGCCACATGTCACATTATTCACGCGAAGGTTCACGGTGTAGTGAGCCTCGGTAATTTCGCTGACGCCGCTCAAGTAGACCGACATCGCCAGGAAGACATAGAATCAACAATTCAAACGCGAAAAAGAGCAGGGGGACTCACGCCGACGCCAACAACATCACATTTCAATGGTTTGCTTATGGGTGACGGCGAGCTTGTTGCTTACACCCCCATCGCGCATGCGCGGCGCCGGTGGCGTCCGCTAGGGGCGCTCCGGTTTGTTTGTGAACATGAGTTGGTGTATACTTCAAGTAAGGTAGTAAGGACACTGGAAACAATGTACTTGAAGCAAAGTTCTATAAATACAATGACATTACTTTCTAAGTAAAGTACAAATTCGTTTTGACACAATTGTTTTTTTTTTGTTTTTTTTTAACTGGCATGAATTGTTTTAATGGTAGTGTGGCGTGCATTAGTTATTTTCAGAAATGGCAGCAAGAATTAGATACAGTCAAGTGGCTACAGAGTAGTTGTTAAATTTATAAGGCATTTAGTTGTATATCATTCTTATTGCCGCCATTGCTTCACTCAGAGTTATAATGACCAAGTGACATCTCGAAAAAGGATAAAGCATTTTCACATGACGATACATAATTTTTTTTTTATAGGTTGGTGAACTTTTATATTCGCCCTCTCACTATTTCTTCAGAGTTGACAAAGCATAATTTTGTTACACAAATTTAACAAAACCAAATTTGGGGAATGTACTTCGAAGTCGGGTGTTGTACTTTTCTCGGAAAGTACCAGGAAAAATACTAGTGCAAGTACATACTTGGAGAATGTATTTCAAGCAAGGTACAAGTTTTCTAAATCTACTTAAAAGTAGTACTTTAAGGTGAAACACTATCCGAAAAAGAAAAAAGAGATTTCTTAAAAAGTAAGTTGATTTTGAAAAGAGCCATATTTGAATCCACCCCCATCTGGAGAGTCTTCCCAGAAGGCTTCATTTGTTTAAACTGCATGGTTAGTTTTCTATTAATTACTTTCGGTCCATCGATGCTAAGGAAAAGGTAGAGGAATTAGCACTTTGAACACATTAGAAAAACTCTTGTTTGGTAGCGGGATAAATTACTTTTTGGAAATTTTATTTTCGCACTTGCACTCTCCGGGCATTTTGGTGCATATATGGTGAAGAGAAATGTTGGGTATTGCATTAGTTTTCTGACGATAGTTTTCCTCAGCAATGTTAGGGTGTTCCTGGTAAAAATGACTATAATTTCTTTGATAATTCATGTATGCATATGAAACTTTGCACTGCATCCTACCTCGCACTGCCAGTATATACTCTAAACTTCAAGCTTCACTCATATTAACCCAAAGGTTCAAACGTTGACCCTTTTGGGTAGTGTCCCCCTTAAAAAAAACACAGAAAAAAAAAAAAACACTTAAAGGGCATATATGAAATCTACATTTTTTAAAATACTCTTCTTATGAAATAAAAACAATATTCTCGCAATATTTATGTTGTTGGGCAGCCACACAGCGCTTCCGAAGACTCATAGTTGCGACAGCTGTTTGCTGCAAACTAGGTCGGTGGAGGAGATCTTCCCCTAAAAACCTCGGTGATTGCACAACAACTCACACTCGTAAAAATAAACAAGCATGTCGCAAACGCCGCAGCCATGCTCGTTATCTTTTGAAGCCAAAGCGGGCAGGGAATCTCGGGATATTTTTTAAAGCAATAACGACTCTATCTATATTGTTTGTTTTTCAAACGTAAAATTATTCATTTCATTTCATTTATTATCCCTTAAAGGCCCCGCCAGGGGCATTACATAAGGGGTGGGGGCAATACAAAGAAGCACACAAGTAGAACTTTTATACAATAAAAACGAAAAACAAAACATAGAAACAAGATGTGGCTGAGCACTGGCCATAGGTAGGAGCATCGCACTGATTACATATTAAATATAGACGATACAGCATATCTGAAGAGGTCGGGGTCACTAATGAGCACTACACTTATTGTTGATTAAAACACTATTACGGCACAGAGAGACAATTTTACTACAAACATTTCACACATCAATCATCCTCCCAACCAGTGAGAGCCGAGGAAAGGTGCTTCGTTTTGTAGGGACCGGGCGGGGCCTAGTGCAGGGCTACCCCCCCCCCCCCCTAAATTGCGTCTAACATTGTATCTATTGCTAAAAAAAATTTTTTGTACAAAACAATTGCAAATGTTTTTTACTTTTTTTTTTTAAGGAGACATGCATTAGGGTAAATTTTTTTATATAGAACTACGTCTTTATGTCACGAAACTTGGTCACTGAAATGACGTCACAACACCGGAGCTCCTACCAAATTGCATCGCTGCTCTCCCTGACGGCGCACCACTGTTGCCAAGACTCGTGCAGTGCGCACGCACGTCCTTTCTTATCTGCTGACTTGCTCATTTGCTCGCTTCAACTCAACGCACTCCTGTCTGATTGAAACGACGATAGACGCCGCTCCGGCAGCCGTGATTTAACAATCTTCGCTCATAGCTCTGGACAGCGGCCGGGCGGCCGAGCTCGACTGCTCTGCGGCATCGGCAGTTCACGCGACTCTCGCTTGCGACTTGGTGAAGCGTTAAAAACAATCGCACACGATTCCACATATGCAACTCAGAGATGGCGGCACGGTCGGCTGCACTTTTGCCTCTTCCGGACTCCGAGCCGCGGGCATTCGCTTCTTGCGCACCCCAACATCGTCATATGGCAGGAGCCCATGAACTGCGTCCATAGTTCTACGTAAATTTATGCTGCATAACTCACCTATGCACCGACCAATTTCTAAAAATTATTTACAATATTGAAAATAAATAGTTTATGGTGCTTAATCTTTTCTTTACTGTTAGATTTGATATACCATATTTTTCGGTGTATTTAAGTCGCGGGTTTTTTTTTTCAAACATTTTTCTTGGTGCGTCTTATACAACAATGTGGCTTATATGCGTTTTCGTTTTTTTTAATTCACGGTGCAACATAGTTTTTTTTATGCGCCGCACATTATTTCTTGTAGAGCACCGTAACCACGTAGCCGTAGGTGGTGTTGCCTTTTCCAGGAGGCAGTGCTGTCGCCGCATCCTTCTACATTTTTCACAACTGACTCAAAAAGTGAGAAATTTTGCGGTTTCCTCTAAGCGGCTCAATGTGGATAGACAAGACAGTGAGAATAAAACTTTGACAGCATATGGTCGACGTTGCCTAATTCAGTCATGGTTCTGTATTCTTTTGCTTCAGTCCAGTAACACTGAAAAATAAGTGGTCTGGTATACATGCATTGCAAAATGTTTTCTCGCATCTTTCTTAGTTTACGTTTATGAGCAGTTTTTATCTGCCGTGTTGCAGCCATGTTGGTGCATGAAAAAGGCTCGATGTTCACCTAAGCACTGCTTATGAGTTGTGAATGCGTTAGCATGCAAGCCGCTCATCTGCTCCCTTATTTCGTCTGCTGCATACTTTTCGTTGCCGGTCAGCGCACGCGCTCTCCTGGGCGCGCTGACTTTGAACGCTCCGTGTTAATGGCGCGCTGACGGACACGCACCACCATGGGGTGAGCGATCATATAAACTGATGCACAGCGGTCAATGGGAGCCTCGTCAACGCGCACCGACCAATGGGACTGAAGCAGAAAATCCATCAGCTTTACTCCATTCCTTTGGGATCGGGGAATTTAGGTGCCCCTGGCTAGCTTTTCGCTTGGTTTCATAGCTGGGAGCTCGCTTCACTTGGAGAAAGGATTTAAGGTGCCATTTGGCACGGCTCGCTCCATGAGACAGTTAATGGTTTTGCATTAAAAGGAAGGATTGAGGTTAGCCTATCTTTTAGTGGTACCCAAAAAAGTGTGTCAAGAATTATCTATCTGCCTGCGCATCGATGCTCGCGGCGTCTCCGTGACTTTGCCTAGGCTAGGCCTAGTGGTCCAGAACTTGGTTCACGAGTGTTTGGCACATTAAACTCTAGTTTGCTCGGC